CTAACTACATACTAAAGAGGTGTCTGTAAGTCAGCGGTTGACTCCAGACTGAATATATGTAAAAATCACATTCTTCATTCTCACCGATGGTGCAAGGCGTGTGGTGTCCACTTCACTTTCCCAGTCCCACCGATGGCTCAGAGTCAGCATTCCGTACTTTACACCATTGTTATACCGAAAACTTAATATCGGGTTATGCTTACGTAACACAATTCATAACAAGCAATATTTAAATACACAAATAAATACCAGAGAACATGTAAAAACACTTCTATTTCATTTTAGGTACTTAATTGGTTTACCTTTTTAAAAGTTTATTATGTAATTTACATTGTCTTTGGAGGTTCTTTGTATTTTAATAAGGACAATCTTCACCTGGCAGTGAATAATTAAAAGCAATGTGGTTTTTATTTTCAAGAATAAATATTTTTTTACAAGTATATACATAAATAAATTGAATTAATTAAGAATTGTCAAGTCTTTCTCATTTTAATTAGATAATAAGAAGTCTATTTAAATACCTAACACGCTGAACGTTATACCTTGTACGTAATGTAATTTCACTTTAATGTTTTTAAAGACGTAGTGTGGAATATCTCATACATTGTTCTCAATAGAGATAGAATTCCAAGAAAGTTATATCTTTTCTAAGGATTTATTTTAAGTAATAGTAGGTACTTAGAGTAAAAAGTATAGACTCTTTATAGCGATTTATAATTGGATATTATAGGTAATTTTGGTTATCCAACCAGCGATATTTTTATAAGCGATATTTTTTAAGGAAAATCTGTACATTAATCATTTATTTTTAAAGCTCTAACAAAAAATACTCAATTATATATTATTTACTGTTGTTTCTCTTAATGAAACCTACAAATGTTTTTTAAACATTTGTTCTTAGCATCACATTACGTAAAAAAAGTCAAATCAAGTAAAAATACCATAACAATTTGAAAAGACCATTCACCAAATTTTATCATAATGAAAAGAAATTAATCTTAATACTCGATGAAAGCAAGAATAATCCGACTTTCGTTACTTCATAAAGATAATTCATAGATCAATGGCCCCATTTAAACTCTTCAACTAAGAACATTTAAACTTAAAAGTTTCATATTTCCGTTCCGCCGAGAGTAAAGGAATCTTATTCGCGATCAATCAGTAGATACATAGTTTTTCTTCTGTAGAAAAAATAAGAAAGGTTTTGCTACAGCCTCTAAGGAAAATCAAATTTCAAAAATTCTTTTATAAGGGAACATTGTTTTGAGTATAGTTATATTAAACAATTTTGATAACTAAGGTACATATATTGTTTTTTACGTTAAGAGTAAAAACTGGCTAAGTATTATAAAAGGTATTTATGTATAAATGTGTGCTTTTCCGTCTGTTGCATAATAATCTTAAAAACTGCTGTAAGTAGATATATTTTTTTACCTTTTTAACACAAAAATTTTAAGACAAGTTTGGTCCTTAACTGTTATCTCACAGTTTGTGAATTTGTGAATTGAAAGAGACGAAATAGAATAACACGTAAGAGTACTCACAAAAACGAGCAGCTTTATTGACCTTTAATAAAACGTCTATATCCACATATCGATGTAACTTTAGGTATATAAAAAAGAATACATTGATTTTAATATCCGGTAAATATATTTGGTATCTATTCCATTCTAAGGTAAATATTTGATGTCATACTAATAGTGGAGAACTAACGTGTTGTCACATCGTTTGGCTCAAATAAACATTTTAATGAAACTTGGTGGTTATATATGTATATTCGCAGTGAGAAAAATTCTAACTCGGGTTAATTGCTTTCTGTTTTAATAACTATAAAAACTGAATAAATTTAGCTTTTGTATTGATACTGAATTATAACAAAATAATATGATATTAATATTACTGATTTCAACAGCAACAGTTTTTAATACTTTTAGAATGACAAATTATTTAAACTGGATAATAAAAAAAATTCAAAAATCATAATATTATTGGCGTTCGTAAAATTTTTGCTTCATATAATGTTGGTGTAATGCATGTGTATAATCAATAATATTATATGTATATGAACATACATTCGTTTTATTAATAATATATTGAAATCTTACAATCAGAAGTGATAGATAAATTTTATAAAAATTTAATAGTGAAACGTGATTATACAGATATTGGAGTGACCTTGATGATTATGATATTTTGTACAATTTCCATAATACATATGTACATATATTAATGCTTTAAGAACAGCAGTGTTAAAATATATTATAATAACTAGGTACACAAGTTAAAACTTATAAAGTTCTAGATAATTTAATATTTGTTCTACAACATATCTCCATGTTATGTACAAAAAGAATAGATTCTATCTTAGAATAATTGTTTGTTATTATTATACAATATTTTATAAACTTACACACAGAACAAATAAATTAAACATGACAGCTATTACTATAAAAGTGCTCTAAAACAAAAACAGCAGCATGGAAAACAGCATGGAAACACGTCTGTCACAATATAATTTAAAAAAGGTAAACCCATTAAGGGAAAACGTGAAATAGAAATCTGTATAAAGCTCTTTAGTTCTACAGACTGAAATGTATTAAAAACAATGTTCATGTTTATCATAACCGGTTTTTTTAAAGTGAAAATTAAAAAAAAGTTTTCAAAATGGTAATAAAATGGAAAGCCAAAACGACTATTTTGTAAATAACAGTGTTGATTATTGTTTTTGCTTTTAGTTAGCTGAGTACATGATCCTCTGAAGATAAATATTTTGAAAGTAATTCTTATTATACACAGATTTTGATGTGCAAGCTGCCACTAAACTGATTTGGGTTTCAGCGGAAGGGTTGAAGGAAATCATAGGAACGTGAATAAAAAACTGATTCCATAAGACGAAAAATATCTGTTAAATTTCTTATTGCCATAATTTTTATTTTGCTAAGAAAAAAAAAAACAATTCCTTTTACGAGTAAAACGATATAATAACTCGACAAAACTTGTTCCCTTTCATTAAATGTAAAAATAAAATTAACAATGGGCAATTATATAAATGAATAAACAATAGTGATTGACATATTTTAAATGCGAGTTCCATAACAGGCAAGGGTAAAACTGATAAAAAGTGAAAAAAAATACAGTAGAATTATAATACCTTCCTCTACTCCTAATGAATTTCATCCTATATTCTACTATGATTCTACTATAATATGTATATAAAACAATTAAACTTTATTTTTTATCGCTTTAAGTTTGTAAACATGATTTCGATTCTGCATTTCATTTTAAATACTTGAGCACAGATATTAATTATTTCTCATGTTAAAAGGATTTGCAATTAAAAATCAGAATTTTTGTTTTATTTGTTCCAAAGAACCATATTTATTTGCACGAACAGAATTATCATTAATATTAATAACTATATATATTTATAAGGTACTTCAATGTACTCGTATTAAATATTAGCAATAGTTAGTTTCGAACTACTAATCATGATTACATTGTGGTATTAAAATTAAACATATTATGTAGTGTGATAAGTAGTTTTTCAACTGTCATAGGACTACACGGTGATAGTAAAATAATTCAAACTAGTGACACTAGCAATAATAGACAACGGGAACAGTACCTATTGGGAGTTAAAACTTTTATAGCAGCTTCGGTTGAAAGCAATCTTAAACAGCTGGTATTTAATAAAATTACAGGCAATGCTAGTCCATTATTTACAAAATAATATAATAAACATATGTAAAAAACTTTTAACGCAAGCATAACCAGATATTAAGTTTACGGTATAACAATGGTATAACGTACGGAATGCTGACTCTGTGCCATCGGTGGGAATGGGAAAGTGACGTGGAACCGCTGACTTACAGACACCTATTTAGGATGTAGTTAGTTATAAGATTTAATTATAGAATGGGTCCTAAGTCAATCGCTGACTTAAAGACCCCGCTCTAACTAGTACTTATCTAACTAGTACTATCCAATTGTGTTTAATATCGTAATTAACATCTTAGTAGACGAACTAATCTGTAACGAGAAAAAATGGAGCTATCGCTTTAAGTTTAATAATAAATACACGGAATCCATTTTAGCCTTCGCTGACGATCTCGCAATACTGACACGTAACCCCAAACACTGTCAAGTACTATTGGATGAAGTGGATAAATTCTGTGAGTGGACGGACGGATTGAGGACAAAACCCAGTAAATGTCGCTGTCTGTGTCTTGGTAGGCGGAGTACAAGATACACCTCATACGATCCGGGACCATCGTTAGGCGGTCAATGCATTTCTACGGTTACGGAAAATGCACCATTTAAATTTCTCGGTCGTAAGATTGAAAAAATAGGCCGTACTCCATCTTAAGAAGGAATAGTAGATAGCTTTTTGAACGATCTTAACAAGGTAGATAGCCAACTGATCAGTAACGTCAAAAAAGCGTGGATCTACGATAATTACTAAACTTCACGTTTGAAATTGGCCTTTCCTTGTCTATGATTTTAATAAAACCCTTTTGTCAAAGTTAGATGCAGGCGTCATAAAGATGTTGAAGTTGTGGCTCGGGCTCGCTCTAACGGCTGATTCATCGGCGTTATTTAGGGGAAGCAATAGTTTTGGGATGAGTCTAAAAAGGCCATCGGAGCTCTATAAACACCTTCCAAGAGATATATCCTGGAGAAATCCCATGATGACGTAGTGACATCGCTCCTAAAAGATGAAGCTAGAGTCACGACTTCAATTCCATAAGCAATTTATGATAGGAGCACAAAGTAACAGAGTGGGGTTAGGATCAAATAGGAAAGTCCAAGATGCGGATATATTGAAGTCTTTTATTCGGCAAGACGAGAATGATAAATATAAGATCCATGCAATGAATTTAGAAATGCAGAACGAGTAGTTAGACATAGGAGATTTTTGCATCCCATTAGCATTAAAATGGCGCACTTTAATTTATGATTGGTCGCCAGCATTGCTAAAATTCTATCTCAATGCGTTCCAGATGACTCTCCCAGATCAGAGTAATTTAGTAAGATGGGGTAAAAGTACCGAAAAAACTTGCTATATCTGTGGAAAGGCAGTTGGAACTGCTAAGCATCTGCTGGTGGGATGTAAGGTACTCCTGGACAGCGGTCAATACTCGCGTCGTCACGATAGGGTTCTAGAAGTCATACGTGAAGCGGTTAGTCTTTCGGTAGCCAGAGCGCAAAAGGAAATAACCACAAACGAACGATCAGTAGGTTTTGTGAGAGAAGGCACTAGGGCTACAAAATCAAACGTCAAGCCTTACTCCATCCCTAAAGCGGCGTCGGATTGGACTATAATGATGGACACGTATGAAAAGCAATATAAAATCCCCGAGGATATTTGTGCGTCGGCCTCCAGACCGGATATATTTTTGTTTTCGCGAATTTTAAAGCGCGTAGTGATGATAGAGCTTACGGTCCCTTGGGAAACCAACATCCCCAAAGACCATACCATCAAGGTCAACAAATATTACGAGCTCACAAACGAACTCACTCGAAATAGGTTCGTAGTAGATGTGTACGCGGTAGAGGTGGGAGCGAGAGGTATAACAGCGAAATCTCTCTACAACCTACTAAAGGACTTGGGCTTGTCCAGAACTCACATTAATGCATTCTTGGAACGTATATCGAAGGCAGCCCTAGTAGGTTCTTTTCAAATTTGGTTAGGTAGGGAGAGGAGCTTGGACAGTGGAGGTGAGCGTATAACGCGCGTTAGTTAAGGGGCCCCTTAAACCTACACCTGGGTCGCAAGTCCCAGGCACTGTTGAAGCTCCTCTCCCTGCAACGCGATGGACCCGGCACCCGCACGGTGAATCCATGGAATGCTTAGTAGTTTCGTCGTCTATGTTTTTATAATTTTGAACAATATACAGAGTTTTTTTAAATTGTTTTTGCTTAAGCCTTCTCAGTCGCACATTTTCAGTCGCAGAAATATTAAACTTTAAAAATCGCCAACCCTAAGTTAGGACTGATTTTTCGGAGGCAACCCTACACTACCTTGTTCGTAATTAAATATTCTTTGTTTTCATTTAAATTTGATTAAATTATCAGACTGGTGCAAAATGCTACTATCGATGTACCTGTTTATCCCTGGCAACCCGAGAGTTGTGACTGGAAAAGAATAGGCGACCTAACGTTTTCATATTCTATGGGCTCCGTACTTTCGATTGGTGTGCAATTTATCTAATAATCAAACCGGTGCAATATTTGAAAAAAAATCTATTTTTAATTGTTAATTAATCATATCCTGGACTATTAAATTGAATATAAAATATTTTTCATCAAATAAACATCTCGGTGAAGGTCGCCTTATATCGGGATCCTCTACTAGTAGATAAGATAAAATATTAAATATATCATTCGTTGAAGGGGGAATGATATGTTATTATTTATAATTTAATTAAAAACATTCTTATATTGTAGTCAGTAAGTAATTGATTTATGACCAAATATTTAAAACACGTTTCTTAACATTTTCGATCTCTTTCAATATGCATTGTAAAGCCTAAGTGTTAATTTATAAGTTAGTTTTTCTCCATAGAACTGTATTTCAAAAACTTGATAGTTACTTATCCAGCTTAAAACACAAATAGTAAATCAAACTTCCCAATTCAGAAATATTGATAATGGCCTGTATGAACCAGTGTTGTACAGTATTGTATATATTTATTAATAAAAATATAATGTTGTCAGTAGCATATGTTTATTATTATCTAACGGTTCTAAAATTTTATAAAAAATTTATACAAAACTTACCAACACACAATTAAATTATATGAACAGCTAAAGTCATTTTTCGAAACCAGTCAAAGAGAACTATGGTCGGATGTGATTTTATGAACTTTTGACAGTTATTATAAACTTAGTCTTGGTAGTTCCGAATATATTTGTCTTGTTAGTTAGGAAATATTTAATAGTATGTATATATATATCCTTATATATATTTAAGTGTAATATAACTTTGAATATTATTTTGTAATGTTGAAGATGAGTATATTTAAAAAACCATGACAAACCACAATAAATTTCGGAATTGAAAATGTTTGTTTGATTGTTCATACTTAATTAAACTTGAAATATTTACTAAAATTAAAAAGTACCAAAATATTTACTGATATATGACAGACGAGAGAAATTCACACATGAAATTAATAAATAAATGCACTCTGAAGAATATTTTGCAGGAATAAATTATCGCGTGATAAAGTGTTCAACAAAATAACAAGCTCAGTGAATATTATGATATATATTTATATTTTTTTTTTATAACAAAGGGGGCAAACGAGCGGGTAAGGTTAGTTAGGTGGGAGATAGTCATCGCCGCCCATGAACACTCGAGGAGCCAGAAGGCACCAGAGTGCGTTGCCGGCCTTTCAAACTCTTATAACTCAAAATAACTCTTTGACTTAAAAAGAAATAATATAAACAAATAATTGTTACCTATTGGAGACTTTTATTTAATACATATAAAAATATGATAAATATACAAACATACATAAGTTACTTTCTAAAGTTATAAAAATGAGTAGAAATAAAACTCTTTTTTTAACAATTCCGCTTATTTCTTCATGTCATGATCAAATTGTTACATTGATGAGATATGTATACAATATTCTCAAAATAATAAATCAACTCCCGCTTAATCTGACGTGCACGAATTTAACTCATCCAATGTCAAAATGTCTATTAAAAAAGGAAAGGAAACTAGGGTATGTTTTAATGGTGTGTAACATGCATGACAACAAAAAGAATTTAGAATGTTATTTCAGAGATTTTTTTGAAATTACCTCATTTTATATCAACGTTATAACCGTCACTGATAATTAATTTTTCATCTAGGTCTTGTGAAGTTGTGGGAAATTTTTGTATAAAATGTGTCTGCGGCAATAACAGCAAGGGAATATGAGCAAGAAAATAACCGTAATATGAAAATGATAGTAAAACTTAAATATTGAGTCTCATACTTTGTGAGATGTTGAATATCTGTGCTAGCTTGCAGCTAAAAATAAACTTGGAAAACAAAACTTGCATGCAGCAACATATTTGAAATTCAAGTATTGCTGTAAAGTATATCCGCAAAATATTAGTCTCATTTAAATGACTCGCGAAAATTTCAGATCTTCCAAAAAACAATACAAATGTAAAAAACTAATTTATACAACTCGGTTCATAAAAAAATATTATTAAAATGTGTATAATATTGAATAAACATACGAGGCAGAAAAATCCAAAAGAAATTAAAAAACCTTTTATATGCATATATCTTTCAGAATTAAAATACATTATCTAATGTCTTCCTCTTCTACCATGCACTTTCCCAGCTATAGCCAGTTAGTAATACCAGAATAGTTTTGGCTAATTGTTTTTACGACCGGCCCGCCTGTCTCACATCAACCCTTTGGGAATCAGAATTGATCAGTGATGTCTAAATACTCTTAGAAAGTACATATAATTCGGAAAAATTACATTTGTACTTGCCCGGGCCAAGATCGAACCTTTTAACCACTAGTCCTTTTAACCACTAGGCCACAACTGTCTTAAATAAATTATAAATACATTATCTAATGTGATCATCGTCAGCCTATCAGAGCCCACTGCTGAGCAAAGGCCTCTTTCTCACATGGAGAAGGTTTTAGCATTAATCACCACGCTTGCTCAAGACGGGTTGGTGATATCAAACTTATAATTGTGAAACTATAAAGTCCAGGTTTCCTCACGATGTTTTCCTTCACCGTATGTCAGTGGTGTCTAAATACTCTCGGAAAGTACATATGACTTCGAAAAATCACATTGGTACTTGTCAGGTTTGAACCCGCGCCCTCGGCAACGAGAAGCGGGCCCTTTAACCACTAGGCCACCACTGATTTTATCTAATGTAGAGTGATGAAAATAGATTGTTTTTGTATAAAACTTGTAAAATAAAAAATTCATATGATTTAAATACAGGATTCTGATAAAGATTACTCATACTGGTACTCTTAAAGTCCAGATCTATACTAATATTATAAAGCTGAAGAGTTTGTTTGTTTGTTTGTTTGTTTGAAAGCGCTAATCTCCGATACTACTGGTTCGAATTGAATAATTCTTTCTGTGTTGGATAGTCCAGTTATCGAGGAAGGCTGTGAGCTATATAACATCACGCTACGACCAATAGGAGCAAAGATATAGTGGTAAATGTGTAAAAAACGGGAGAAATTATTTCATCTTTGAAGCCTTCCGTTGCGTGCGCCGTGAAAACGGTTCAAGATACACAAAAAATATGTAGTAAAGAATAATAGCTCTTTTAATGATCTAAAAAAACAGTCCGCGACAGTATATGTCTATCTTTTAAGATTAACTCACAAAAACCGTTTTTATGGTACCTAATTTAGTCGAAATAATTTGTTTAAGTTGTATCAACATAATAATATTAATCTTTATTCAAATAAACAAATAAATATGTTGTTGGTTAAGAGTCATTATTAATAAAAAAACATAGGTTTTATCCTGAAAATTCTACGGGAACTCGACCATTTCGAAAACCCCGCAAGAACGGGAACTATGTGGGAAAAACCAAAAATCTGTCGGAAGTCCCTATTCCACGCGGACGAAGCCGCAGCAAAAGCTAGTAATGAATAAAATGACTATCTTACTTTTTCCTGGCGTTTACGTGATTTGGGTTTTTTATGGAAATTATAAGACAATTTTTGAAAAAAAAAAGAAATATAGAAACTTGGCCCTTATCATGATTATTTCTTTCTTTCATAATGGCGTAGGTTGACGGGCAATAGGAAAACAATTGACATTCGACGTATAGGTTACCGACGTTATAATTCAAACTATTATTTAGCACATACTACAATTAACTACACTCAATAACCATGGATCAATTACAACGTTCGTATTCAGTATTAATCGAAATCACACGACGTTCCGCGGACAACGTGGTGTATGCCTCGCACAGCGGATCAATTCGCCGATCTTCGTACTATACATCCAGTTCCCTGAGTTACGTCAAGCGGACTGTCACTTCTTTTCGTTAGTGACGTTCGCTTTTACTAAATAGGTCCTATTATCTATCGTAAAAATAATCAATTTAATTTCTAAAATCACAAATGCGCCGTCATATATAAAATTTAACATCTAAGGACTTCATTATTTTTGTATTTTTTAAATATATAAAAAAAAATTCTTCCATCTCATTTTTAAAGTAAAAAAAAGACTTATTATTAATCGAAAATAATTTTATCCAGTAACAACTGATAAACATTTATTTTAATTTAAGAAGATCAATAGTGTCAAGTAAATCTTTATGAATATAATCGTAGAGAAATTTATTGTTTTATGCAAATAAATGAAAGATATTGTTAGCTAATGCCTTACATACACTTTAATTTAATTTTTCTATTTATTCGAATCTCCAGAAAAATAATGTAATCGCCTAATAGCAAAACCGAGCGTATCAAACCTTCAACTAAAAATTTCTTAGATAATGGTTTGTGTGATTTTACCAAGCCGGTAATTAATTAACGTGATAATATTATGTATATTGCAATTTAAATAAAAAATAACGTTAAAATGATCCTTAAAATTTATAAGTAATCTACAAAATATATTATATAACTTTCTAACATAACACCAGATTTAGTCATTAAGTTTTAACAAATGTACCTGAATCTACCAAGAATAGCATCTAATACCATGAATTACTCTTCATAATAAAAGGCACAGATCAAAATGT